TAAAACTTTTGATTATTGGTTTGTTTATCAGAAGAAAAATCTTAACATTCACCAATTGTATTACATAGCTTACATTTCCCAGCTAGCTTTATAAAAATGAGTAATACAAGAATTACAAATGAAGAAAAATTAATAAAGATGCCATGGTAAACTAATTTTCTGCCAAATAAGAAACATCTAGATTAATTTTCCATATTTACACGAGAAAGCCTGAATCTTCTCTGATGTCTAAAGGCTGGAAATTTGCAAAAACAAAAGGCAAATTTTTTTTAATTTAATCATACATTTATGATTTCATATATAAGATTATATTGCATTGTGAAGTCAGAAGTTTGCAAGAATTTTTTTGATTTACTACAGAAAAACAGTTCCTGAGATTATAAAGTCTGACATTTGTAACAAAAGACAAAAGAGATACTTATAATTTAATAGTAAACTTAGAAACTCTGGATTTCCAAAGTGTAAGTGGGACAGCCAGGTTTTTCTCCTGTATCGGAAAGATTTGATAGACTCCATGCAGTCATAATGCAACTCCTTCTTCTTCACGGTCTGAGGCCTGTCTTTTCAAGACCAACAAAACACCTTACACTTTGGAAAATATCCAAAGAACCATATGTGGTGTTTGAATTATCAAAACAGATCGTTGTAAGCATTTTAAAGTTTCTCTCACTGTTCACTGTGTACAAATACATCCAAAAACTCTTTACAGGTTTATTCCCCAGTTGCCAAAAGTCGCCACCAACTATAGTTTGGCAGAGAACATGTAATCTCACATGAGACAGGCATCAAGCTGTAGCTTTAAGACTCATCTGGTGTGTGAAGAATATTTTAATTTGTGTGAGCGATCGCTCAAATTAAAAGATTTGTTTAACAATCCACCAAACCTTCTGACAGATTTGAGCAAGCTTTTAGTTTTTTGCTGGCTTCAACTGGATTTTTCTATCATTTAAGTGACAAACTTCAAGTCTTGCAGCAATTCCGAGAACAATTCCCTTATTGACAGCATTTCCCTGCCGCCTGCTGCTGGTGTGACTCTCAGCTGAAAGCAAACCGCAGCGTTTTGATAAGATGCTTCATTTTAAAACGTCTTATCAGCTGGAAGGCTTTTAGGTCCAAGCTAAGATGTCAACACTGTATTTCAAAGTCTTTGTAGTGACAGAAAAATGACGCAGCCTCAGCCACAGCTTTGTACTGCTTTTCATAACTTATCGTAGCATATGATGAGATACCCGCTCCTGACCCGATAACGCTTCCCATAAAGGAGCTGCAGCTTTTCATCTGATTCGTTTTAGTGTGTCACTTTTTCAATTATAGCTGGCACAGAAAAGCCCAGGAAAACTATTAAACGTGTGTCATGGAATGGAAAGAAGTCGAAGCTCGGTCGGAACGAGAAGGCAGCTTTAGGTCTAAGTGTTTGACAGGTGTGTTCAGCCGTGTGACCTTCAGGTGGCTGATTTGAATAGGCCGGATGTGATTAGGGAAGAGCATTCAGGGCGAGTCATATGGAAGATAAATTTCTACAAAGCTCGCGTTGAGAAAACATTACAACCCGTTTACAGATTTCAGAGACGGTGAAGCCGACTGTCTCTGCTGGTGTCTTTCAGTGGGTGTAATGTGATGTGCCGTCTCCTAACACGCCTCCCTCACACGGCCCCGGGCTGCAGTCTGCTGTAAACAAGTCCCGTCTCTTCTGCATTACCCAGCAGCCCACACTTATCAATAGCTCTGCCCTGTTCTGTGTTACAGTGCAAACAGGCCTGCTGCTTGTTTTCCTCCTAGCCCAGGAGCCCTGAACTCTTCTTCAGAAGGAAAACAAGTCTGCAGAGCCGCTATAAATAATGCATGGTTAGTAAAACTCAGGTCAGTAGAAAGTGAAGATCACTGTATTCTTAGTGGCTACCGGGCACAAGTTATTACAATCATCACAGATTTTAATTTACTTCACGAGGATTTTATGTGAAGCATTGCAGAATTGTGAAGTAGAAACAAGTTGTACTCTTTTTTGTTGTAAATGATAATCAGAAAAGTTTCCATGCGTATGAATTCAGTGCTACTGAATCTGCCTGGTCCTGCTGGAGAAAGTAATCCCACAGCATGATGCTGCCACTAGGGCTGAAACAATTCCTCGAGTGATTCGAGTATCTCGATTATTAAAATTCCTCAAGGAAAACTTATCGGCCTCAAAGCTTCGTTAAGTTATATTTTATTATTTAGTGCAATGTGTTCTGGCCCGGTTTTCACTTGTGTTGTGCAGAGCTTTCACTTCCACCTGAGTTGCTGATGAATGCTAAGTGTTAGCAGCATAACGTCCAGTTTTCAAGTTCGACCTCGGAGGATTTTAATGTCTGGGTCTTTTTCGTTTTTCGGGTGATGATGTGCAGTGTTCATTTTTACTTTAGCACCTTTACCACTCGCCATATTTTTACTTGCACAGTATTTGAAAAACACTTCACATTTTCCTCCCAGTTTACAATCATGCAATCCTTCATGTTGGTCTATTGTTTGAAAGTCCAATAAAATGCGTTATGAAAAAAAACACAATCTCTACACAAATTATGTTAAATGGAGATAAAACAGATGGATTGTCAAATTTTAAACGTTTACCATATGACTATCCAACCAAATATTATTTCAACTAAGAGCAAATATAGAGATAAGCAGTTTTTTTTGAAACCCTAACAAAATAAAAGATGACACAATTTGACTAAAAATACATGCAAGTTGTCGCTGACATACTTGTTAATATGTAGTAAAGTTAACAGCTTTTTTTTTTTAATAATTCACAATGCAACTTGTGAAAGACAAATTTACAAACTATATCCACCATTCATGTTTGTTTTCTGGTTTGTGGAAATGTTTCTGACAGGTGTAAATGAACCTTGTTCATTAAAAGCGTTAACTTTGAAAAGTCCAGCTTTTTTCCAGCATTCAAAAACAACAAACTGTAAAGTCACTGATTCTTGAAGTTAAAGGAAAATGTGGCATTGTAAAACACTGAATGCTTTGTTATCTACGACACAGATATCATTGATAAGATCCTTCACTGTCTTTTTCCATGACGGTAATCATTTGATATTGTTTGATATCAAATGATATTGATATTATATTTTTTAAAATAGAGTTGTTGTTTTTCCCCAGACTTTGACATTTGAAATGAATTGTGCTTTTGGGAACATTTTTACCAAACATCTGTAACGATGTAAAGCATCTTTTGCCTGAAAAGCTGAAGGAGGCAACTTACTGCTTTTGTTCGATAAACAACAATTACAGTGATTATACTGATTGTGAAAATTGCTGCTGCTGCTTGTATTTTCCAGTTAATTTCACAGCCTTGCTGAAAATCTCCAAGACAACGAGCATGAACGTTTCCTCAAAATGATTCTGACCTTCAACCAAAATGAATTTGAAACTGAAATCTTACACGGCCATGCAAAAGTTATCAGACATCTTGAAACTTTCCAGATTTTGTCAAACTGCAGCCACAAACTTCAATGTATTTTATTTGTGTTTTACATGGTAGAGCCACAAAACCCCTTCTGAATCCACGTCCACTGGAATGGACATGACAAAAACTTCAGATATTTGCATGATGCTTCTTACAGATCATTTGTTTTTTTTTAATAAAAAAAAAACAATGAAGCTTAGACTATTAACTTGATACTATTTGAAGGTATTTGAAATTTTTACAGGTGTTATAATGTCTTGGTCGAAGTCCAACTGCCCATCAGATTTGACACCACACCTTTCAGATTGTCTTTGTGAAAAAGAAAATGTGAACCCATGTTTGGCTTCATTCCTCTTCAAAATTTTCTGCTTTTTTTTTTATGTTGGCGTATCAGAAAAATGTCAATATAAACTAACTTCACAAAATGTGGAAAAGTCAAAGACGGAAAAAAAAATCACTTTCTCAGAGCTGTTCACTTCTTCTGAACTTTGAATGTTTGTAGTTTTGTATGTGCTGGAATACAGTTTTGTTTTTTGGTTTTTTATAAAAAGGAAACTGGTTTTCCCACTGTTACAGAACAACGCCTCCCTCATCTCCAGCACACCGTTTGTGCAACACGATATCTGCACACAATGTAAACAACAGCGCAGAGCTCAGGTTCACATCCTGCTGCAGGTGTTGTCCCGAGCTCAGCAGCAACAAAGAATCACAGAGCAGATTCATTTGCATCCACTTTTAATACTTTGTTTTAAGCACCAACAAAAAACAATGAGAGGGGCTCAGAAAAACCTGCCACTGCAAATTCAGGACGCCAAGTGATGCACTACACCGCTGCAGCACATCAGTTTGTTCTGGTCCAGGGTTCAGCCTCATGTTAGAGGAACAAACACAGGCCAAGGCCATGCATGTGTGCAGGGCCACCTCCTCCTTCCCCACCTCCACCTATCAGGAGCAACCAAACAACAGCCCTGCATTCACTCATTAACTTCACCTCCACAGCAGCCCTCTGTTATGGACGTTTTTATGTCCCTGACTCCCCACGGAGGAGGATAACACCAAAACTAAGTATAAAAATCAAAATGTGTCATTTTATATATAAATAGATACATATAAAATCAGGAATTAGATTGTGGTAAAGTTTACACACAGTTATCTATGAATGTCGCACGTAGCCTATTTACTTTTTTTGTGTGACGCCTTTACTTACAAAAACGCACATATTTAGTATTTTGTAAGGCTTTTATAAATATTCATGATGCGCAACAGGTGTATACCGACACCTCTGAAGCAAAGCTCACCGTGGATAAGTTTCCTGCAGTAAATGTCAGCCTTTATTGTTGCTTCAGTGTTTTATTACATCTCGCTGGGAAGTGATGCTGCTTTCTGCCATATGGCTAACAGCGCCCACCTGTCGACGCTGCGTTAAGTAATGTCTAATAACTCCTCTTTGACTTCTCTTTCTACCTCCAACTTTCACCACGAGGCGCATTTAAACGTCAGTTTTTATCATTGTTATTTTTTTTTTAAGTAAAAATTAAGCAGAGCTGGAGCCTACCTGTCGTCCGAAGTGAAGGTGTGGCACTTCAATTTGCCTCAGGTGTCAGAAACGCTCGGCTGTCATTGAACGTCTCCCTCTCTCTTCCGGTCCTTCTGCCGAGTGAAAAAGTCTAAAAACCAGGTGAAGAGAAGATGGAGGTTTGTTTTCCAGGACGGTCGGAGTCACTGTGCTGGGTCGCTGAGCAGAGTTCCCCCCCTCGGTGACTCGGCAGTCCCATGTTCCCTGCGTGGACTCGGTCTGCTGATGGGTTGGTTAGTTAGTTAGTCTGTGGAACTAGTGGAGGGCAGTGAAGCTCAATGTGCGGCAACACGGTGGTTTCCGGTTGTGCCTTTCAAATTAAGACACAGCTTTTTTTTTTTCTTCTTCACTGTTGAATAAAATATGTTAGAAACAGATTGTATGTGCAGAAGGGATTCAGGGACTCGAGGAATAATAATTCTGATTTTATCATGAATATTCTTAAATTAAACCCCGAATTTTAAGAAAATAATCAAATTGAAGTCAGAATTTTGTGCTTTTTTTTTTAGTTGGCCTAATTCTCTTCCACTTCTGTTTAAGAAATAAAAAATATTTCAAATTTATTTGTATTTATTTACTTGTTGAGTTTATTGTTGTGTTCTATAGCAGGGGAATCTAACTTTATAGTTTCAGAAGCTATTTTACCAACTTTAGTACTAAATTCAATATTTCTGGAGATTCAAACTTTATTCATGGGAAAAAAAATACAATAATGTATTATAATGATTTGTCTTGTCCTCTTAATGCTTCTTTCTTCAGAATTTGTTGGCATTTATCGACACTACATGGATAAATATTTCATAAACTAAATTTGTTAATGAAATAATTTGGCTCTGGAATAACAAAAGGTCAAAAGTCTTAATGGATGCAAATAATTTAAATGAACTAACTCCTTAAAGTGGATATGCTGACCTTTAGAAATGGAGCGACACAATCTATTATCACCACTTTTGCTTTCCAGGGAGTCAGATGAGGTTTGAGTTTTTGATCAAGACTCTGTTTTCCAGGTTTCTGGCCTTTGGACGTCCCTCTAAGAAAACAATTGAGAGTTTTGTGAAGCAGAAAGATGTCTAGGAATGAATCGAAAATAAAATGGTGAAAACTTCTTCACAAAACTCAGAGTCTGGCAGCAAAATGTAAAAGGAGAAGTAAATGAAGTTTGTTTCTGGCGTTATCAATACAAATATGTTATCAACTGAGTAGATCCATTGAAAAGTAGAATCTCTTCTAGGCAGACCTGGTTTTGAATTTCCATTAGAGTTTCTTTGTTTTGTTTTTTTAAATCCTGATGCAAGAAGTCTTTTGATCTGATGGTCCAAGTGACATTGTGTGAATGCAGCTCATTCGCCCACATCGCTCTAATCTCGCCCTACCTCAGTCCTGACTAATACCCAAACTGCACAGGACTTCCTGTTTGACCTCATAACCCCTCGTCCAGCATGACGCAGCTTAACCTGAGCCTCCTTTCCTTCAGTCACCACAGTGGATCATATGACTCAGCTGTGATTAAAGAGGAAAAATAACTCTCTACAACTTGCTCGCCATAGTCAGCTCTCCTTGGCCTATACCTGCACTATTTCAAAATGTTGTTTTAAAAAAAACCATGTAACTTCAGTAAAATGTGGCCAGTTTGTGCACTTTAAGGGGAATTTTCTCTTTTTCTAACACAGATTTTCCAAATCTTTTTGTTTGTCTCTGAAACCAAATAGAGCAATTAGCCTCCGTTTTGGACTTTTGGTGCCACTGAGTATCAGTGAAAAATACACTTTTTATAACAATACCACTGCAATTTAATTTCACTTTGTTTTTTCTTTTTTACCTGTCCATACATTTTACATTATTGTAATCTCATTTAGCTGTTTTTTTTCAGTGAAGAAACTTTAATACACTGTAAACAAACCAATTTGCAAACATGGGAAGGAATTTTTGTTTATAATTTCAACGTCGCACAGATAAAAAGAAAAAAAAAAGAAAATTTGTGATTATATGACATTAAAATTGTCTTTTTTTTTTAATGTGTGACCGAAGTTAATTGTGGCATTTGTAAAAACAAATGAAGAAAAAAACATTGACTCTCAACATTTCTCTGGCAAACCTAAAAACTGCTATTTTTGTGACAAAGGAACACAGGTGTGTAGTGATTTGGGTTTTTGGGTTTATTTAGGTTCCTGTGTTTTGTTGAGTCTTTGTGTTGTCCTGGCTGCCCTTTGATTCTTGTTTCTCCTGATCGTCTCCCTGTGTATTTAAACCCACCTGTGTTGAATCTGGTGTGTCAAGTTGTCTTTGCTGTCACGTCTTTTGTCACATGTCCATTGTTACCAGTTGGTACCAGTTTCTGCTCATCTGTGCCGCCTGGATTTTGGATTTCATTGTCATTAAAATAATCTTTTCCCTCATTCCTCACCACCTTCGCTGCATTTCGTGACAAGATTCAACAAAATATATTTGAACCCGTGGGAGTTAGCATGAAGCTGGAAAAGAAAGGAGAAAGAAAACTCAGGGAGAATCAGGGCTCAAAAATTAAGTATTTTTAAAAGATTAAACAGTAAATGCAACGGCAAAAATAATTAAAATGATCAAATCTCAATTTTAATTAGATCTGATAGTTCTATCAGAACTAAGGACTACGTGACACTAATAAAAATGTTATTTACAGTGCAGACGTCGGAGTCGTCTTCTGTGAGGTGCCAGACAAGAAGTCGGTCTGAGCTTGACACAGTTCTGAAAAAACTGGTTTATTTACACATGAACCATGTGATATCGCCCTAACATCAGCAGAAACAAACACGATCGCATGCAGGCTGACAATGATCACCAGCTTTCATCGTCTTTTAGTTTCAGAGAATTCGTCCCGTAGGTTTGTTTTAAGTGTGGTGATGACTGAATTACATTTTTAAATTTTTTTTCCAGATCCACATTGTCATTTAAAGCACATCTTTTCGCCTCTGACAGAAAGGCAGCCAACATCCAGTCAGAGACGAGAAATATGACATCGTGGAATATGAAATGTGAAGCAGAGGCAACTTTTAAACGACGGCGTGGCGACCCGGTGACTTCGGCCTTTTCTGGGGTTTTTTTTAGAAGGCTTTCAGTTTTTTTGCAAAACGTAACCTGTGAAGAATGGAAATAGGACAGAGATGAATGGAAAGCAGGAAAGCAGGAAAGGATAATATAGGTCATACCTGTTTGCTGAATATCAGGAAGTCTGTGCACTAATATTAGCTTAAGGTTGGTCAGGAGGCGCTCTCCTGTGACTCATCATACAGCAAGTGTTTGGCCAGCTTTAACGAGCATAAATGTAGTTTTATTTGACGTATTTTATGAATTGCAGGGTTGGAGGAGAAAGGTTGAATTTTCCCGTGGGTAAGAGGCCGGGTAACCACTGGACAGTCAAGCGCAGGGGAAAACGGACTCAAACAGGACAGGTGAAAGTTGAGTCAAGTATGAATTTAAATGTGAACAAACGAGGAAAAGACTCTTTTAATGAACAACTTTTTACCTGAAACTAAGAGATCTTCCAAACACAAGCGTCTCTCCTCCCAGCATATTTCATAGGAATTAGGTCAAGACCCGCGGGTGGTTATCTTTTTCTGAGGTCTGGCGTTGATGCAGTGGGGTGCGCGGGGTGTAGGAAGATGAGATAACAGGGATGGAATCAGTCCTGGCTTTCACAGATGGAATATTCACGCTTCGTAATATTACACTTCTTCGGCACACATAGCTGCGAGGCTGAAAACGCCTAATCATGCCTGGTGGATTCGTTGAGCCAGATATGGAGGGCGAAAGGTAAATAAGGGTGAGTCAGTCTTTCTCATAACCCAAAATACGGGTCACAGGTGAGCACAATGACTACAAAAGCTTCTGGCTCATGGAATTAATGTCGCTGACAAGAACGCGGCTATTTTAAGCCTGGGTAAATAACGTCGCGCTGTACAAAGTGTCTGACCCGTGTTGGACAAACAACTGGTGTAATTACATGGCTGTGTGGCTCTGCAGGTGGAATGTGCTTGCCACAGTGAAGCTCCTGCCGCCCGCGACAGACGTGAGCTCACCATCGGTACAGCGAGAGGCGTGGCGGAGCCCGGGCCTGCAGCCAACCTGCGGCTGTGGTGGCAACAGAGCACAGACGCTCGCGAGCATTAGAGTGCCACCGCTGGGAAATTAAAGCCACAAAGCCACAGGGTCCCGTCGGCCGATCGTAGCTGGAACGTCGGTGTCTTTACTTGTGTGCCCGCTGCAGGTCAGCGTTAAGGTGTGCAGCTCATGCATCACCTAATTATTATGACGCCGTCAGCCGGCGTTGCAGGACTATTCACCACAGTTGTCTGGCATTGGGTACCGAGCGCAGGAGGGCAATTACTGGCCCATCAAATCATTTTGCAGCTCTGTTTTGTCTGCTCAAAGGTGTTGACAGCGTTTTGTGTTTTCTCATTGCCACTTGGCTTCAGCGCAGTCAGACCTATTAAAGTGGTGTGGATCAATCTCACCCAGATCTCTGAAGTCGTTTCGAACTTCTAACATTGGTAGTATGTTGTAAAGTGTGTGCAGGGGACAAGAGGAAGATTAATGAAACTTCAGCAGCAGATAAAGTGTCTGAAAGTCTTTGAGAAACAAGAATACAGGGATTCACCGTCCTGACACAGGACAAGAGAAATGAATCATCGGCAAGTTGTCAGCTAATACCTCACTGGAGGTTGATTTGTTTGTGTCGAAATACTATTTTCTGCCTGTTTGACTTTGTTAACGTTCTTTTGTATCGAGCCATCAAACGAAATAGTTCTGTCCTAACAATGGGGGATTTTCTGACTCAGTAACTCCAATTAACGCCTTTTAACATAAACTAACTTATACCTGATCTCCTTTTAGCTCACAACTAGCACATTTTAACAAAACAATGATACATTTATGTGCTGTAATTCCTCTGGGATCAAATGAAAATTAGAATATTCCATACCAAATTGTAGAAAAGAAATGTGCAAGAGCGGTGTGGAGGCAAAAAGTGAACCATTTTATTACAGTAAAATGTTTCATACAAACAATGCATACACACTAGGTTCATATTGCTTCAGACATAAGTTTCTTTTCTGTTTTATTTACAGTTAAACAACTCTGTAACAAAATGTAAGTACAACATTTATGAAAATATAAATCTCTAAACAGGTACATGAGTCCTGACAATAAAAAGAACACCATAGAAACATTCATTACCAGTATGTCAACTATAAGTTGCAAACATGTAAGTTGTTAAAAGTCATTCAAGTTACATAACATAATACATAATAATACCATTTACTGGCTTCCATATGGACACATTCAAATATACTCTTAAACTGGCATTCCGATATATTTTTTTGTAGGAGGACTCTTTTAGACTTTTTAGCAAAGATAGCACATTTTCTCTTAACATAACCACAGTCGAACACTTCAACAGTTTGGTAACAATATAATTACAGTACAAGCCTGATAAAATAAGTGAGACAGTCATGAAATAAAATAACCAATAATTAAAACTTTGGCAAGTCCATAACTGAATCTCTTTGTTTGTTTTTTTTTAACTCTTGAGTTAGCAGGAAATGTTAAAGCTCGGTGCTTCTACCCCGTTTGAAATTTTCCCAAGGGCCATTCAAAACTGGTAAACGTATATTAAGATGGTATAGCCCTTACAGTGTGGTTGTAAGTGGTTGAAATTGTGTGGGTTTTTTTTGTAATAAAGGAATATTTGATTAACCAGAGATCAAAACTGCTAAAAATAAAATCTCATTTCAGGATATGTAATCTCCTCAGAAATCCCCAAACTGTGTAGATTGTCTGCAGATCTTTTATTTCAGCCTGTATCGGCTCTACCGACCGACCAGAATGTCCAAATGTACACACTACATGCTCCGTACATGTGCTATTGTTTGACATACCTTTGAGCATATAAACAGCAGCGTGTATAAGACACATTTGTTCATGTTTCTTTTCATAACAAAGCGCGCACTTTGTGTTTTACTGGCTCTTAAGTACGGTGCAGGACGCAGTTATAGTCGGCATGGGCCGGTGTGAGAATCTGACGGTGCAATTTACTCGGGCAGAAATACTTAACACATGGGATTAGAACTAATGCTCAAAACAAATTCATAAAAATGTCTGATCTAATCTGACTTTAATTTTAAAGCACACCTTAAGTATGAAAATGCTATATTAGTCTTTCAATAAATCAAATATTTTGATGAACACATAGTTTAAGAAAGAGTGTCTTTAGAGTAATTAGGTCATTACCGTAATTTACAACCAATTTATATATATTCATTTTTTATTAATATTTGTATATTTCAGTTTTGAATGTTAGTTTCAAATTCAAATTGAATCTCAAGCATTCAATTTATCTTTGTGTCGCGTTAAACATTAAGGAGCTAAGCCAGTTCTGAAGTATTTGTAAAAAAAATTATAAACGGCAAAGAAGCTAAAATGTTACATGAATTTGCAAAAAATGTAGTTGTTGCGATAAATGGGTATATTTTATCTTTGGCTTTTTGTAAAGTAATGTTACCGGCTTCACGGTATGTGGGTTATTTCACTGATGTACAAGGTAATTCCTAAAGTTTATTAGAGTGGTGGGAGCCATATTTTAGCAAGAGTTGAAGTTTTAAGGTTTCCTTTTCTTAGTCATTAGTTGGTCAAACATAAGAGAAAACACTGCATGATGAAATGTTCACTTCCCAAGTCAAGGGTTTTCCAAAATCATAATATAGTCACTGGAAAACAAAAATTTTTATGATATAACTATGATATCTTAACTGCTCATTTTTAACACTGAAAGCATGAATAAAAATGGCACCTTATAAGCAACACAGAAAAATAACGATGGCCGTATACATTTGCTAACAAGATCATCCATGTAGCAAACATGGATGAGCTCCATAGAAGTGAGCTGGCTGAAAACCAGCCTTAAACGTGACACAGTGAAAATCATGGATTCCCATATTTCAATTGTTTCACAATAACGGGGGAAAAAACCCAAACCTGAGGGAGGACAACACAACACAGCTCATGCCACAGGTCCAGCAGATAGCTTAAGCAGGGAGTAAACAGCCAGACCATTAAGCCTATCACAGATGTTTTTGTGAATATAAAGTTTATCAAATAAGATAAGGCCTTTTTTTTAAGTGTCTTTTTTAAGTATCCTCTGTTAATACATTTATGTAACTGTAGTGTAGGTGAAACACTGACTCAATATTTGGAGGGAAGTAGACCTCCACTATTGCTGTATGACTTGCTAATTTACAGTAGACTATTCTGATCAAAGTTTTAGGGAAGAACATGTTGATGCAAAGCTGTGAACACCAGTAGATTGGTGTTTGAGTTTGGCATTCCTAGAGTTATTATTAGGTAACTTTCTGTGGCATTCTTCTCTGCCTTGTGCTATTTTTTAACATACTATTTTACATATTTCTCAATTTCAAATATAGAAATATAACTAACTATTGTGAGCTACGAGATTGGACCTAACTGAAAAGGAAAGGTCTTTAAAATGACGTTCCTTAAAATGAGAGACCGGCCCATGCCTAGACACAACATAAAAATTGGAATCTATTTCAGAACAAACTGACATATCCTGTTATTATGAAGTTTTAGATGTTTTTCAAGAACTATGAAGCCTGTGCAACATTTTGTAAAGCTGTGAAGATTTCTTTATTTTTGAACTAGGAGTAATAGGTCTAGGCAATTCATTAAACATGTACTAATCTGTGCTCCGATGTTCACAAACACATTTTTTTTTGCTAGGACTAAAGCCCCCCCCCCCACATTTGCAAAATTATATTACAAAGGAGATTCAATCTCAAAAAGCTTGTTTTGATGTCTCCATCTTCCATTCTTTAGGTATTCTTCTGTAATATTGTGATCTATATACATCTGTAAACTCAGCCAATAATTGTTTTAAAAGAAAAATCTAAATCTTTTTTTGTAATTCAAATATTTCTGCTGAATAAATCTAAATATGTCTCACAAACCACTCCTAAAGTGCATCCACCTATTGACTAAACCTCTAAATATGCTCACTTGGCCAAGTTTTTAATGTAAAACTCATTCTGTCCTTTTATAATGGACAAACAGACTCCACAGAACCTAAAGCAAGTACACAGGTTAAGGCGTTGATGTGCGTGGTGCTATGCTACACTGTATGCTCAATAGTGGTGTTCCCCATAAAAACGACCTGCACGCGAACTGATGGAACAGCAGGTAAACCTATATTAAAATCTATGTAAACAGTTCCAAAAATTATAAAGCAATCAATCTTCAGAGTTGCGCCGCGGTTCTCTCCTGATGTTGACTGGGTTTCAGTAGAATCGGCATCAGATACAATTAATATACAACAGTGTGTGTACTATGTTTACAAAGTCCCTGCACTTTCATTAATTTTGTGATCTGCACGTGATGAGCATTTTTTTTTATTTCCAGGCACTCACTTTGATTGCATTAAGCACAACGTAACATTTTTAAGGAGTTGCACAAATTGCAGCAGCCAAAATGAGATATGTTCTGTACATTTGTTCATCCTTTTTGTACAGTACCACCTGATATTAATACAAACATGTATATGCTCTTTTAGGAACAACATTATGGCTTAATGTTTATGAAGAAAATAAAATAAAAAAGGTGGCTGACAAACAGTGGATACAAAAGATCACTGGATCGGAAAATGGTTAAACGAGACATTTTGATACGAATTTTGTTCTTCAAATGCAAAAGGACACATAATGGCAAACTAATACAGGATATACTTTTTTGTATTGTAGAACAGAACATTTTCTAACAGTCTTCATGTTTGAAACTAACAGAAAGTGTATCATATGTTGGAAGTAAGTAATACATCATTTGAGTGCAGCGTTAAAGTTGTCAACCCAATAACTACCCACAGGGCTGACATCTGCAGCTGAATCACGTGGCTGTAAACAAGAATCAACTGCAAACCCAGAGATTCCTAGCTCTATCCCCCTGTCTCTTGTCTTAACTTCCCCCCAAGTTTTCACTGCAGCAGTTCAGTCTTCTTTGTAGGTGTGGTCGACTCCCCTTCTCCTGAGTCCGACACGTTGATGGGGCTGTCTCTTGAGAAAACTTCCGTCGATTCCCTCCAGATACAGTCGGCAACAGTCTTGAATGAATGGTTGCCACATTTGGGGCGCACCTTCTGCGACGCATTGTTGACAATCTGTCGGCTGTTGGAGGTGGCTATCTTTATCTTAAGGGCGGCGTCCACGCGGTCCACAACCGTGTATGTGCCAATGCTACCGTCCTCGAAGCCGATGATGATGTTCAGTGCACGTTGGGACAGGGACAGGAAGGTGGGAGTTTTGTAAAGTGAGCATGTGCCGATGCTCTTGCCGTCGGCAAGACGCATTACGATCAAATTAGACACCACCCCGGCCTCGTCATCCTCATCACAGTTGCGGAAACAAACATACACAAGGTAACGGCCATCTCTTGATAATTTCTGACGCCAGATAATACCGGCTGCATGGACAAGCCTTAGCTTTCCACTGTGAAGATCCAGGACATTAATGTTCTCATCACCTTTGGAGACTATTCCCAACTTTCCATTGGGTGAGACTTGAAAATCTTCAAGATTTTTAAGAAAGTTGGCCGGCAACTGGACTCTCCTGCAAACTGACTCATCTGCCACACTCCAGATGAAGACTGTTTCTGTGGACGTAATAAAGACCACACAATCTGGACAGTCTGGAATGAGCTTGAAGTTGACAATGGTAATGCCGTCATCACAGACAAATTTCTTTGATACACTGCCTGACCACAGACTCACAGCAAGCAGTTTATTCTTGGAAGTGCCCACCAGGAAAGTGTTTGCTGTAGTGATAAGTGCATTCTGGAGGCTGACTAAAATGTTGCAGACTTTGTGCCCAGTAGCCAGTCTCCAGACTCTTGAGGCATTCTGCTCACAGAGAGAAACCACAAACTGGTCATTGTGGGTGATCAAGAGCTGTGAGATTCTCTGTCCGTTTATGCGGAAGATGTTTTCTCCGGTGTTGGTTTGCCAGATGTACTGACTGGACTTGTCGTCTGAAGTCACCATGAGATCCCCTGAGGAGGTTAGGACACAGTTCTCCACCATGCCCTCGTGTTTGAAGACCGTCTCAATAAACCCAGTGCTAAAGTTCCACTTGTGGACTGCCTCTGAGCCGTCCATTGTAAATACGTAGTCTTCTCGCCCAGTCAGCTGTAACGTCTGGATCTTCTTGCCTGTTTTATCGATGTTGGACATGGCTGTGATTATATCAATGTCCCAGACAGACAAAACGCCACTGCTGGCTACAGAAAGAAGCAGGTTGTGGTGGGCTGATTTTATGAGTTTTACAATAGCTCCTGAGATCTCAATCAGGCTGGCCATGCACTGCCCGCTGTCTCTCCTCCAGACAAAAATAGACGAAGTATTCTCCATTGAGGCAACAATGCTTTGTCCATTTTTGGAGAGAACAGCAGCAACAAATCGCTCACTACGCTTAGCTTTGAATTTCTCCAGCATTTTCCATACTTTTGTATCCAGAACCTCAATACTACTGGCCTTGCAAATGAGAATAGAACGCTGATCTTCAGATAATTCAATACCCACAACTTCACTTTCATCCCCCCTGCAATCATAATCCTCCATCAGCTTTGGGTTGGTTATCTCTTTGGTGTTCCACACTGACAGACTTCCCTCATTGTCAATCATTACCATTTGGTTAAGAGTGTCCAGTACTAGGATAGACTTGACAAACCCCCCAGAGAACTCTGACGTCACAGTGGACAACTTTTCTCCATTTCCTAGATGAAAGACCGATGTTGTGTTCAGGTACTGGCCACAAAAGGCATACATGCCATCTGGTGAGCATTGGACACAGGTTACTTCATACCAGCAATGGAACTGATAGAGGGGCCATCCGTACACAAGGTCAATAACACTGACATCCTTACTAGCCTCAAGCCACGCAAGTGCATGGTGGGTAGAAAGAGTAAAACCGTTTATGAAAGCAACTCCTCCAGCAACACCACTGTGCTTTGACCCTTTAATTTCAACCTCTGATAAGAGGCAGGATTTGTGATTATCATAGATGAGCAGAGTATTTTTGGTTGTGGCAACCACCAGGTACTTCTCATCTGTGGTTAGCCTGATTCCCAGCACAACAGATCTGGCTGTGTCAATCTGTCGAAGGAGTTGCCTGCTTTCTACATCCCAGGTGCTGATAGATCCATCTTCCAGTGCCACAAGGACTATGTTTGGGGCTAGAGTGGGTAAAATCTCCACAATCTGTATGTAACTGGAGCAAAGAGGAAGTCTCTCTGGACTGTAAGTTACATCCATGGAGGAGTGGAGAGGCACAATGGAGCAGTACTTGGGACCATCTTTGTCACACTCCAGAAGAAGGTGTCTGAGTTTAGGCAGGGAGGTGACAACTGGTAGAAGCCTTTGCTGCAGTTCTGCAGACAGTGATGCAGGATTCTTTAGCACTTTCACCTTAATGCCACGGAGAGTCGTGGCCAGAAATTTTAGCTCCTTTTCTTGGCTGCAAGTGTAAGCAAGATCAATATCTGTAATAGCTTTATCAAATTGACCAATCTTGATCATTGTGTAAAGCCAGCTGAAGTTCATAATGACACCAAACATGAGATCGTCTGTCCGGCCACTCCTGGTCAGGTGGTACACCAGTTCTGTCATCTTTCTGTGATTGACAAAGAAGATGTCAGGCTCCAGCAGGTTGCACTGGAACACCCAAGGCTGTTCAGGAGTCTGTCTGTCGTATGAGTATTTATCAGAGGATGTTTTTTCATGTGACTGCTGATGATGAGGGTTTTTGTGATGTGAAATATTCAGGGAAGTGAAATGGTTATTGTCATAGGTAAAGATCTTCTTCCTGCCTCCTGACCATGCTCCAAGGAAGTACTCAGCCAAGAGGCTGTGCATTTGATGAACATCCTCCTCATTGCTGAGGTAGAGCTTCTGGGCAATGAGATGGAGGTGCCTGTTGGCCCAAACCATCAGTGTGACATTTCTTACCTGCCGCTCAACCAGATAGCCTTCCAGCTCTTCTTTGAGTTTAGCAACTAGATCGTAGGAGATCCTTAGTGGATTTTTAAGGTAACTTGGTACTATGACGTCTCCAAGAACAATGTTATCAAGAGATAGGATATCTTCTAACTCAACCTCCGTTAGCCCTGCCTTTGCCATGGTGACATATCCTAATGCCCTGAAGACAAATCGTTGGCCTAGCTTGTTCTCCACAGAGTAGAAGAGTTGCTCAATGCTTTCGTGTACTGTTGAGCACAGAGATTTATCATCGACATCCTTGTGAGACCTCCAATGAACTACTTCTCTGTAGATGAGGTTGACAAACATGGGCAAAGTACATTTGGCAAGTGCCTCATTGACATAGATCTGTTGCCCTGACGTTACTTTCCTCTTCACCCCAAGCAGCTGCTGTTTTAACATTTGGCTGCAGACCTTTCGGTCTCGTTGTATTAACTCCACATAGTACCTCTCGTCATGAATGAGATGACGCAGCTTCTGCAGAATACCATGTTTGTTGGGCAGTGTTGATACAACTATGCGGACGGTGCGAGGCAGGTGTACAGGAAGCCACCACAACTTACGGGCCTCGTCAGCATCAGAAAGTTGCTCCATGGCATCCAGGACAATGACCAGGGGCCTGTGGAAGGATGACTCCCCAAGGAGGTTGATTAGAAGCTCCCTCATCTCCTGAATCTTGTTAGGCAAGAAGTGAATCAGGCAGCGGTAGTTTATTGCAATCTGCTCACAGATGCTCTGGAGAAGAGTTCGTAGGTCAGTGGAGAGTTGGCTGGAGCCAATAAATCGGACGATGACCACTGGATCTGTTTCTGGACCCATCTCTTTTTGAAGCCATGTGTAGGCCTGGGAAAATAAGGAATAGCGCAAACATAGTCAAAATGGTTTCATAAAAGAAATCTACATGCAAAGGTAAACACCAAATCGGCTGAAAGTTGAACCTTTTCTGACATTGAGAGGTCCTTTTAGAATTTATCTTAATCGAAACTGAAACCAAAACTGAAACATGAATTTAATTAAACACTTTTCTAGAAGAGGTTTCTATCACAGTAAAAAGGAGAAATTCAATATTCTAATTCACATAACTTTGTTCACCCTAGCCTTATTATTTGCTTATATTCTGCACATTGCGGTATTGTAATTTCTTTTTTGTTTCATGAGAGACATGTACAGAGAACTGCTCTAATATTGAGACTAGTATTATTTCCTAATTCCATTCATAAATTCATTAAATGGCCCAGTTGAGAGTTTCAGCAAGAATTTTAATGCTATCTGACATTTTTAGAGCAACCCAGATGACTCTGCTTTCCATTTTAAGCTTTGTGTTTGACGGAGGCAGAAAAAAACCCAGAAACATATATTCTGTTTGGAGATAATTTACAGTTTAAATATGATGTAGAAGAGTTCCTACTCTTACATTGAAATTCTCAGGGTTTTTTTTCTGGAAAAATAAAAATGCAGTTTCATCCACATATATGGATTTCAAAAAATAAAAGAGCAAAAGTTCTGATTATGAATTAAAAACCCCAACAGAAAATGTATTTCAAAGAGTTGTATTTAGCAGTGACGGGATAAAATGGAAGATTCTTGAAGGCAAAATGGGAAACTACTAGAGGTGAACCAAAGCATTCCAGCTGATTGGTGTAATATACCAGAATTTCAAAGACTAATTAATAAATTATTCGTAAACATGCACATATATCTAATTTGTAAGAATATTTTCAGTAAATTCATTCAGCATTTAATTGTATATAATTGTAAATTTGCTTCGAAATTATTCTTCAAAATAAAACTTTCCTGATGTTAGACCTATTCAGGAGCTACATTCTATTTCGTGTTTAATGTTTAATTTTTAAAAGTCATGGAATTAAAAACACTACAGAGAGTAGGTATTTTATTCTGCCTGAGTACAACAAAGGGTAGTGAAGGCACGACTTGTGAGCTGTCAGCAAGCTGTGTATAAAGGCTGAACACTTTTCCTGGTGGAATAGAAAAATATGTTATCTGGTTAGAACATGTCCTGGCACTATAAAACACCAGAGTACTTCCTACTTCTAGTCTCAATAGTGGAGTGTTTTTAAGGCAACACTCTTTTTGAGACAGCAAATTTATCATATGAATTTATAAATAAACATGGTCACTATCGCAGGTTCATTTTCTCACTTTCCTCATAAAAAGGAGAACGGCAAAGAAAGATGAAAGGACTTTTGCTTTAATGATAAAAGTCCAGCATATAGCCAAATATTTGCGACTAAAAGTGCGACGACCAATTATCTACATTGGGAAAATCAGTCTTTTTCATGCGCATAGAAAATAGCTGGATGTTGCTCTAATAGCAGTTTAATGCACAGCTCAGATCACTTGGAAGAATTTAGCTGCCCTCTTATGTTACACCACACTCTGCAGGCTTAGATTAAGCAAATCAAGTGTAAATTACCTCCTCTGGGACTATAGTGGAAGCTCAGTGACCTCAGAGCACTTTTCTCTCTCAAGTTCGCCGTGCACAACATTCAAATATTACTCTGTCTCGGTACAGCTGGTATCAAAAATCAGGATAGAAAAAAATTATTCTCATCCACTTACACTAAAGCAATAATTAAATGTATCTGTTATCTGTATTCTAACAGATGTTTTCAACATTTTGTTGCATCTTAAATATTAATGTTATGCACTTTATTGGGATTTATGTGACAAACCAAAACAAAGTGGTGGATATTTATAAAATGGAAGAAAAATTATACCAAATTTTCACTTAAAAAACAATAAATAAAAAAAAAGCACACTTTTGTTTTAGTTCCCAACCACTCAGCTACCTCTAAATAAAATTCAGTTCAGGTAAATCTTGAACTAATGTATCCCTTCAGCATGATGTGGCTATTACCGTGTTTCACTACAGGGTTGGTTTGCTCAGGGTGACTGTAGTTTTCTGCTTGTTGCGGCATTTTGCATGTAGGACATAAAGCTCAACTTTACTCAAATCTAACCAGGCTCTTCCACCTTTGCAGATGTTTCTGCAAGCTGTAAATAAGACTTCTTATGGCTTTTGTCCTAAAAAAATGGCTATCTTTTTGTCTTTCTTTCAAAAAAAAGCCAGATTTGTGAAGGGATTATTTTAGATATAATGAGAGAATCCATATCCACAAGCCGCTTGTGGATATGGATTTTGTTCACTAATCAACATTTGAGACCTTCACAGAACTGCTGATTTAATCTAAGATTAAATTACTGAAAAGTTGATTAGAAAAAGAAAGTAGCCAAGTAAATATAAGGCTTTTTTCTGAATTACTTATCCTGGAAGGCAATCGTGAAAACCATACAACTATCAGTACTTCTGGTACCGATTTTACAAATGAAAACTATCATCACCATCAACATTATTGTGATTCCAAAGAATGAACTCAATAACTAAAGATTCATTTCCTAGATGAAAGACAGAAACATTTCGGATATTTATATAAAATAAAAATAGAGAACTTTGTTTTCATTTTCCTCCACATCATTGTAATGGATAACTTTCTGTCCCGCTGAAATCCACTAAGTTACCTTTACATGCATGTGTGGATATTTTATATCACTCTAAAGTTTAAAACTGTATATTTAATTCCTTTTTTCATTTAATGCTCAAAGAATGCGGTTGCCATTGAGATACTACGTTAAATGTTGACATTAATCATGTTATTTGTCTCTTTAACCTGAACCTGCATAAAGCTAACTTGCGACTCTGGAGGAACAGATCGAGGACATCTGTGCAGTGATCTTTATGTGGCTGGGCAGGCAGATGGCAGCCACACAAGCAAAGGGTGAAAGATGAGAATAACAATAAAAATATCAGTAATAATAAAAAGTACAACATAAAAAGTGTTCCTGCCAACGTTGGCACATGGACAAAAAGTAAAGAGCAGAGTTGTAAAAAAAAAAAAAAAAAAAAACGCCTATCAACTTGCTTGGTTTCACGGGAAATGAACGACACATGCATGCACGGCGATGGAGTGCCTCTTGGCAGATGCACAGATGGCCAAGCAAGCAAGCGCTTGCGAGAAGATGAACAGTTGCACGCCCCCTCATGCTTTGTTTTACAAAGATGGACACATGCTGAGATCAGACAGACAGACGGAAGCAAGCGTGAACAAACTGAGATAACTGAGGAGTAAAAAGTGCCAGGGAGGACATCCTTTTGCTTACGCCTCACCTGCTTGGCCACTTCGGACAGCAGCAGCGTCTTTCCGGTGCAGGGCCCTCCGTACACCACCAGAGGGCTCATCCTGCTCCCTTTAGACGGCATGAGGTACTCCTGCACGTAATCCAGAGTCTCCGACTTGTACTTATAGAGGGTCGCGTAGGTCTTACACAGGGACAGGTGCTGCAAAATTTCATCATACAGTGGGTCGGTCTCTGTGTCAAAGTTCTGCTGCACGGTGGCCTGGATGATGTCCACCATGTCCTCGTAGAACTGCTTGCAGAGACCTTCCACGTAGTGGCTCTCCACCTCCTGGGAGTAGCCCAGCTTCATGTCGCAGTGAGTGACCGAGGAGTAGACGCGGAGGTTGGAGGCGGCCACGATGGTGGGGATGAACTCGTCGCGCACTTTCAAGAGCCGCTCGTAGGCCTCCTGGTTGCGCATGATGCGGTCGGCGCTCACCACGATGTCCATGTAGCGGGCCATCTCGGGGAGCTTGGCGAAGCGGTCGAAGTTGGAGATCTTGCGTATGTAGCAGACGCATTTCCTGAGGAAGGCGGGTGTTTGTTTCCCAAGGGCAAAGTCCAATTCATCCTCCAAAGCTGCAGTGACAAAAAAATGGGAGTTTTCAAGGTTTTTTAGATGCGAAAAAACACTTTGGTGTAAGAACCATGACAAGAGATGAAACAATCAGTCAATAAGGGCTCAATAAGACATTTTCTCTTTATCTTCTTTTTTTTAATTCATTGAAGTTCTTCTATGAGTTCATTAAAGACAAAATAAAGGTCCAGAACATATTTTGTAATTAATAGGGATTAGATCTGGTAGAATAATCTCTTCCTGTTTATGTTTTACAGTCCAAATGAAATAGAAATGAAAGAAAATAAAAAATTTATATCTGCTGGAAAAAGCCCTGCTCAGGGCTTCTACAGCTATAACACATAATACCGATCAGCATAAAAGTGTGACTACCGCTTAAATTAGCTTCCCAGTCTGAGAACAACTGGACATATTTTCAACATTTTTTTACTTCAGACTCAGTTAAAATGTTGTAAGACAGAAAATCGACTAGCAAGTGACTATTTTTGCTGCTGCTTCAACTTGCAGAGACCATTACAACTCATTTATGTTTCAATCTTTCTGAAGTTTCTATAGTGACTCATTTATTGCCACTGTGCATAAAGTTACTGCTTCTCTGTCAGTAGAAATGGGCCAATGTTTAGCAATTCTCTCCAATTCTCTCTCTGCTTTAAAAATGACAAAGACTGTTTGCCATAATAGGACCCTATTATGGGAAAGAATAATTAAAAACACATTTTATCGCACGGTACTTGTTTTAGTACTTATTGAATATGAAAAACATTGGAAAAAATATCTTAATTTCAAAATAAAATAGATTTATTATGCACAATTTATATAAAAAAATAAGCCTCACCTCTGACTTTAATAAGCAGAAATTAATAAGCTTAACAGGAATAATTCAAAACATTTGTCCTGAAATCTAAAAAAAAAAAAAAGGAAACAGAAGGCCCGAATCTCACCAGAGCAAAGGAATTTGTTGGCGTCTGCGCTCTTCATGGTTCCTTTCTCTTGCAGCTGCAGCACCGCCGTCCGGAAGATCCTCTTGATCTCCTCTGACACATTCCTCCAGGCCTTGTCATTCTTGGTCTTTGCTGCGCTGCTTGACTCTATCTAAAAAGGGATGATTCTGCATTATTGTACATCCACTAGGAAAGACTGACTGTAACGCTCGTCATGTACTGAAGGAAAGCTGCCATTCTTGTCTGAGTACTGAGCAAATCTGAACAATAAGAAGGGGTAGGGGGGGGTCTGTGTTATTGAAATTTGTATTGGTCTGTTTCTGATCTGTTTCTGATCTGTTTTCAGAGCGTTCTCCAAATCTGAGTCTTTAACATTAGCATAAATGCAAAATATTCTTGTGTTTTAAAGTAAACTCAACCACTTATTTAGTTTCACTCTCAAAAACATAACATACAACCTTAAAGAAGGTTTTTCAGCATACACCTCGCTGCCAAAAAAAACAACAAAACTGCTTTTAAAAGGTTTTATGGGGCCAGTTTCCGGCTGGGAAAACATTAAAGGAGAAAACATGAAAAGGGTTTAAGAGCTGCCTGAACAAAAACAACTGCACTCGCAAACTTGATGCAAAGCCTCCCTTCTGCAGCAGCAGATAAAATGTGTTCATCAGGCAGAGCTGGGGTGTTTCATAACACGGATATAAGAACACAAATCTACAATCAGGACAAGCCCATAAAATTCTTACAAATTCTGTTTGTGGATCTACAAGATAACAGCAGAAAACAAAGCTTCAATTTCCCCCCAAAGTTCAGTGGAACTGAACCGTTCATCCCCCTTGAACTTCCCTGTAAGCTTTCACATCGCAACCACAAACTTTATTGCTTTTCAGAGCAGTGGTAAATAGTGAAGTAGAGGGAAAATGAAATAATAATCCAATAGGTTTGCATATGTTTGCGTACAGACAGGAAGGCATCGTAATCAGACCCGGGCCAGCGGATAGGACTCACAGAGTTCTGGTAGTTCTTGAGCATTTGGGCTTTTGGTTTGAGGTAGTATGCGGGTGGCACAGAGTTTTCATCCCTGCAGTACCACTCCTCCAAAATGTGGGTGTCCAGCCCGGCCTCCACAGCCGCGTCCAGGATCATCTCAAACTCCGCTGACTCCACCTCGCCCGGCACTCGGATGCTGCCGTACTTTTCCCCCACCAGACCCTGAGGACGGAAGGATGGAGACGGAGACGACAGAAGATGAGCAGAGTTAATGTGGCTCTGTGCAATAGCTCTGTTACTGTGGTGCAGGTGGGCCGTGAGAAACCCCCACACTGTGTGGACATAGTTCATTCCTTGAGGCGATTTCTTTATACGACAGCTTTGATTAGCAGAAGTATAAACTTTATCCCAAATCAGTCAAACTTCAAATTAGTTTTCTTCTGAATATTTTTCTGGCCTTTGTTCTGTTCAACCCAAGTTTTTAAACTGATCAATCTCTCTGGCAATAAATTGATCTTTTCATTTTAACAAGTTTCCTCTGATTGACAGTAATTTCAGTCCTGACTTGAATCTAAGCAGAAATTAGGGTGATGGCACAGAGGCGTTCATAACCATATTGAAAATGATCCAATTAAATTTGTTAAGATTCTCCATTGAATAAAACACAAAATATTATCTGGTAAAGTAAATCCTAGATCTTCAGAGTGTAAGGAGGGAAATCTAGAAAACTTTAGTGAAATAATCCAGAGAGCAATGCAAAGAACTACCAAAGATTACTGTCACATCTTAAATGCAGATTTCAGCGAACTGAGAAGATCTGTTTTTTTTTTGTGCCTGCAGGTATAACAGAGGGTTAATTATAATCCACAGTTTCTAAGGAGGATTTTCTTAATACTTCTCACTTATCTGTAGAGAAAAGAGAGAAGGAGTCTTCATCTGAAAAGTTTGCAGCCTGATGAAGAGAAAAGTGAAGCCTCATGAGCAAAATCTTGCAAGGGGATGTATAAATGGTAAATGGACTGAACTTATATGGCGTTTTCCAGTCATTTTGACCACTCAAAGCGCTTTACACTAGAGTCACATTCACCCAGTCGCACTCACAAACGCGCACACATTCGTGCCCTTAACCCCACTTAATTTGGAGTTAAGTGCCTTGCCCAGAGGCACATCAACATGTGGCAGGAGGAAGCTGGAATCGAACCTACAACCCTCCAATCGCAAGACAACTACTCTGCCATACAGCCACAGTCCATATCTCTTTCAATAACCAGTAAGTTGGACCGCGACACGTAACAGTGAAACAAACAGAAAGACACCAGAGTGACCAAAGTGACCTTTTTAAAACGGTTCTATTCAGAAAAGTGAATCATTTTAAAATGGCAGGATTCACTAAAATCCAGATTTGGTGCTGAATTTGAATAAAAATCATTTCAATATTAGTATTACATAACAAATTAAGTAGTTCCTATGTAACATGTTTATTTAAAAACCTGAATAATTTGGAGTTTTCTTTCTAGATCTGTTTTATCAGACTATATACGCTATGAAACACATTTGCTCTGAAAGAAAGCAAAAAAAGTTTGTTTTTTTTTTCCAAAATTTTCTGCCACATTTACTCTGTCCACAGGATAAATAAATTTGCCCCAAAGCAGAAGAACAACAGGAAGCTCACTCCCCGCTATTCCTGCCTTGTAAATAACCCTTGTTCTGGTGAATGCAGCAGATTTGTTCTGCTGCTACATGGCAAATGTTTTTGAATAGCACACTGTTACGTAAAAAGATGCAGACTCGGCCAAATTTTATAATTCCCAGTAATCAGTGGCATTAAGAAAACGAGCAAATTTTCTTTTTATATCCAACAGATGGGGCTGTTTGTGGGAGAGAAAGGAAAATAAGACTTTAGAGGGATGTATGTGGATTTGTAGGTTAGCTGTGAAATCTGATTTTCATGGGGTTTGCTGAGCTACAAGTTTGGGTTATTGAAATGACATTTGCAGTCTGAATGAGCACATTGAGACATCATAAAATCAAGCTGTAGCCTTTCCAACCGGTTGCTAATCCATGGATATGAGTGACAGTAGATCCAATATCACTGGAAATAATCAGGACAGTTTGTTTCCCTATTGTCTAACATTGTCTGCCACTCATTTGTGAGCAGAAAAAAGGCCCAAAAAAAAAAAAAAAAAAAAAGCCACAGTGACATGAGTGGATGATTTCCTTTTGACTCCATGTGCCATAACTCTCGTGCACCTTAAGCCACTCCTTTGGGAGGAGGCAAAGCCCGAGCAGGAGACGAGCCAAATGACAGTGAGGTCCAATGAGCAGGAAAACGACGGCTTGCCCCCCCGGCAATGACGCTTCAAAGCCACTCTACGCTGGAGTCCTCACTCCCTTGGCATTCTCAGTGGGAACAGATGCAGAGAAGAAGCAGAAATCTAATGACGGCACGCCGCATCGTCTGTCGGATGGCCTACTCTTAAAGCCCACAAATGTCCGCTGGAGATTCATTAGCATTTGGGCACTTCTCTGTCCAACTAGCCCAAAGTGGCCAAGGTTGATTTGGGCGGCGAAGATTCTTTCCCATTAAGGGAATCAGTGACACCCCTGTTTTTGAAAGGACGCCTCCAGAAATTAATAGTGTACTTTGGATACAATAAACATTTTTGTATTACATAACATTAAACTGAAAGATGGTGAGGAAAAAACACTGAGATGAAGTCTAAATGGAGATGTTCATCTAAATGTCCAAAACCGAGTTGGTGTAGCAATGTTATAGCAAAAAGAAACATAAGATAAAATAAAGAGAAAAAGTTAAGATGCTCCTCATATTCCAACAGAGGCTGAAAGGCCGAGGAGGAAGCCACCAAATGAAACACAGGAAGCTGGATGGTAAATGAACTCCTGGACAAAGACAATCCTTTTTGCTTGCTTGCATTTTGCTTATGAACAGGGTATCTGGGAGCCTCAGCGAGTCAAACTTAAGACTTTTAAAGAGCTTCAGTGCCACCTTGAATGGAATTGAAAACAATAATTATGGGGGATGATTAGTGAATCCTGCTGCTTTACAATCAATCAGAGCAACCACGGTGAAATTTCTGGGGTCTGTTCGCGACTCTTTGTGCCACATGTAAAAGTTTTTTTGTGCCTCACAAGGGACGTCAACAGATATGAGTCAGAGGCATCTTTCAGTTACTTGGCAATAAATTTACTCTTACCCCTGATACATGAAAAAAGTTTTAGACAGGGTCAACTGTCTAAAATCACAAAAGATTTTTGTGTGACTTTCAAACAGAAAGCCTGCATATATGAGAATGCAAAAGATTAAGTTGTCTTTCTATGACATACCTTTAATTAACATATATAGCTTAGATTTTTAAAAATAAATTTGAGACTTGTGGATGCTTGGACAGACGACTGAAGCAGGATTAAAACTTTTCACAACACTGTACCGTATCAGTGGTACTTTCAAACCACCAAAGGCCTTTTGTAGCACTGAGCTGCCCTGCAGGTCACATCATGCTTCTGACTCACGGCTCTGCAGCGGCGTGTCAGTAAATGATGGAGGCACTGGGCTAAACGACTGCAATACTGGAGAGAACAGAGGGCACAGTCACTCTCCGTGCTGCTGACAAGGTTTCTGTCAGTTTGTCTTATAGTGCTACAGCAGGACGAATGGAGTGGGTGATAGCTGTGTGGAAACCAAAGTTTTCTTTTCAAATCACAACACAGGTCTAAAAATGCTAACATAAGTGGGTGTGCTCACACCTGTCAACCCAGCTCTCCCGGAAAAACGTTTGCCGATCACCCTGCTGACTTTCAGAAAGGCCAGAGATGTTAAAAGAAAATGCCCCGACGTCCTGATTTTTAGGAGCTTTAACACATCTGTCTTAGCTGGAGAGCTAAAACCATCTTAAACGGATTAACTCATGCTGCAGCTTCACTCTTTTATGTCTCAGTCCATGTACAGTACGTGCGTGTCTGACGTTTAAGAGGGATTTGTGGAGCTCTTATTCCTCCTCAGAGGAGAGGAAGATGTGAGAAACACAAGAGGGTAAAGGGAAGATAACAGAGGGGACAAACGCAATTTCAGCGTTCATTGCGCTCCTCTTCGTCCCTTCTTCTTTCCTCAGGACCTCCCCCTCCCCCCATCCTTGGACCGGGTTTTATACTCCGGCTAAGTGCACTTTATCTGATGAACCAGCAGGGAGAGAGGCAGCTAAGATTGCGCACAGCCACAGTATGAATTAACAAATCAATCAGTCATGCAGTCAATTAATCCACAATGCCCACAGTCAGCTGGGTAGATGTCTGCAGCAGAGGAGAGGCAAACATGATGTTTCCAAACAGAACAGGAGGATCAGAATTTTTAAAATATACACTGTATTTAATAAATGAAACGACTAAATTTATTGAAATGTGAAACTGATTCACCTCTTACAGTTGATTGCTTCTTTCCTGCAGGCCAATGTTTAGATAGCAGAACTGCTTCGAAAAACAGGACATGACCACAAAACATGGTGCGAGCAGCAACATGCTTGACAACTGCCCAGGCACTTTTTCTAAAAATGGGTTCTTGGCTCTTAAAAACATTTTCAAAACTGACCCATTTTAGGCAAAAAGGAAACGTTCCCGTGTGGACGAGGAATTAGTTTTGTTCATTATTGTCTGTCAGCAAGACAAACGTTGCACAAAATTACGCTTGAAAGAAACAGCGTCTTACAAGATTTGACATGACAAGTGCAATTTTTTATTTCCACATCTGCGTGGAAAACATTTACAGCATGGTTCTAATTGTCACCTCAGTCCCTGTATGACGCTCAGACGAAGACATCAGCAACATGCAAACAAATCTAGTCTAAGAGTAGTTTATTTATATATAGGGATACATCCTAATGAGGTGCATTATTAATGTGACAGGAGATAAAAAGGAGGTAAAAGACAGGAAGCAGAATCTTTTACTTTAATAGAGCAGACATCTGGAAGCTTGAAATTTTCTGCTGAAATGAATCCTTCAGGCATTTATCGGATTTTCAGGTTCTTTTTTTTTTTTTTTTTTCTCCCACGAGGGAATTTGAAGCTGTTGGAGAAAGAAAGAGAAAAGAAGTCATGGCTCATTGTCATGCTTAATCTTCGGGTCAATGACACTATCACCATGCCAACCCTCGCTATCGCCATGGAAACCAGCTTTTCCCGAATCAACGGTACGGAGAAAAGCCGGTCTGGCCAAGGTGTGGTTTGGTATTTATGCAACAAATTTACGCAAAGAGGAGATTATCATATCAGGGTGTAAAGAAAACCTCCAAAAGCTCTCAAACTAGATTTTCCAAGGCGGTCATTTTGAGGAGTAAAATGATTTTCTCGAGACAGAGACGTCCGGACAAAAGAGGTGTGAAAACAGAAATAAAACTGCATCAACATTTTCCCCTGGAACGCTCTCGTTCTGGTCCTGCAGGACGGCTCTGCAGAGTCGAGAATGAGGGGCAGTTTACGTGTGGCACGGAGATTAGAGACGTTTCCAGTTGTTGCACACATCTTCTGTGGCAGCAACAAAACAGCCCTGCAGCGCACATGTCAGTCACCGTTCCCTGTGTTCTCTTTCTCTCTCTGCAGTGTGCCTATGTGGGGGGAAATCGATAGTAATTTGGCTTTCCAAAGTGTGTCCTCACTTTATCTTGTGTTCTTTTCATCTGCTCATTCCTATTCCGTTGTCTGACCCACGCTGTGCGAAAGTCGTCTGGATCTTGCGTGTGCGTGTGCATGTGCATGTGTGTGTGTGTGTGTGTGTGTGTGGAGGTGACACCTGAGTGGGTGAAGCAGACGGTAATGAGAGACTGGGAGTGTGTTTTCATCAGAGGAATTAGGAGAACGCACGCAAATGCGAGGATTCCCTGAACTGTAGGCGACAGCCCAACGCACAACCACTTACCCAGAGAAGAAATACATTATTCTGACAATTTCTCTTGTACTTACATGCAAATCTAGAGCTACCACCCAATAAAAAATAAAAAATAAAAATAAACATCCACTCTCCAGAGATGCCTTAGACAACCTAGAACTGTCAGAATCTGATCAGAGGAACCACTAGTGCCGTCGCTGCTGCCGGCTTTGAGCTTCCTGGTTCTGAAAACGGGGTCGACTGGCTGTCGGGGAGCCTCGCCGAGAGGCTCCGGGGACAGCAGCAGCTGGCTTTGACATGTCTGAATGAGACTGCGCAGCTATCTTGAGACCCTCGACATAAAGTCACCCCCCCATCCCCATTCACTACTGAAGTAGGAGCACTAGAATATGCCATTAAACATTAAACCGGTCAGATGGGGAAGACATGCATCATGGATCTGTGTGTGTATCTTCCAACAGACTCTGAATGTCACAAAGCAGAGGTTGTGTTTGAAGGCACGATAAAGAAAAATGAACTGAGCAGAAAACCTGAGATAATGTGTGGGTTTGACCCATCAGTGTGATGCAGCTGGGGGTCAGTAGAGGGGGGGTTTGGTGAAACTGCAGCAACACCAGAGCAAAGAGAGACTGTGGAGAAAGTATGAAAATGCTTCACATTTAGAAGATGCCAGCAAAAGAAAAGGAGCAGGTGTCTTTATTTGATTTCACATTCAATCGTTTCAGTTCACCCACTTAAATCACAAAACATTATCTTTGCACATTGGTACTAAGTGTAATTGAAGCTAATTTAGGATTTTTTCTGGCAGCTGCAGAGAAAAAAAAATCATAATTTTTGTTATCAATTTAGCTTGTGCTAGAGGCCAGATTACAACACGATGCTGAGCAGTCTTTGTTTCCGACGGAGATTCAGCTGCTTAATATGAGGCATAAATAAATGACATAATAATTATCATTTTTTCCCCCCCATGTAATTGTTCAAGGCAACTTCTGACTGAAAGCAGCATGTGGAGGCGGTGCGTGCAAGAAGACGACGAGATTCTAAACTCATTCTGAGAAGAAGGGGTTATGTCTTTGAAATTGAGCTCCTCTTGTACCTATAATGCCTTACCTGTGAACTCTCACTTCTGTCTCAACCTTTACACTCAATCTGTTCCATCTGAATAATTCACAATCACTTCCCCTCTCTTGTTCTCTTCCTCTGTACACCCTCACTGACCCTGTTTTATTACTTCCAACAAAGCTAGAAACGATCTCAAAGCCTGAAGTACAGATTAAATGCACCATTAGGTTTTTATAAATTAGAATACTTCAGCATTTTTCCTTTTTTAGTTTAAGGGATGTTCCGAATGGTTTTGTGAACGTTTTTGTATTCCAAATGGAGAAAATTACCCGCAGCGGTAGTGACCTGCATTTTGTATTTTTCTTTTTAAACATAAGTGGAACCAAAGCAAACTGAGACAAAAGACTTCAAAGTCACATCCGACCAGAGATAAAAAGCAAAATGTAAGACTTTAGAGGCACCACTCAGCCCTTCATGGTTTACTTCTGAAGAGACAAACTTTGGTGGACATTTTTAAAACTGGCATAAAAAGTTTTTTTTTTCAAAGTCTTCACTCCAGATCCTGTTCTTACTCGCAGAGTAAGAACAGGAGAGTTTGAAAGAGTTCACCACAGCCCTTGTGATATCAAGCCAAGAAGTGTCAGATCAAAAACAGCCAGAGAACCAAGGAGAAAGGCAACGTTCAAAAAGGCTGATTCATACAACTTATGAGAATCAACACAAACTGGCTGATGAATTGTGCAAAATAAAATTCCTTGATATTCTGCGCAACATAAAGAGTTAAAGCGTAAACAAAAATAAAAGCTTCACCACTGTTTTATTTTAAAGGAATAGCCAGAAAGTTTGGCAACACTGATTTTGTAAAAACAACTTTATTATGTTGTTTCTTCCCCCTCCATAATTTTACAATTTTGTCAACGTGGAACTGCAATAAAAGACTCGTTTGCTCACGAGGCAAAACAGAACAATCAGAATCCTTTTCAGTTTGTCTAATTGTACCTTGGAAGCTTGCAATACTCACAACAAAGCATGGCCCGGCTGATGTCTTCAGACATTCTTCCAGAAGTTTCATTCGGAGTCTCTGCAGGTCTGGATTGTCCCACTCCTCTGGATCAACTCCCCAGTACAGGTCCACCACCTGGACATATGCAAACATAGCCAAACTGTTAGTCCAATTAAGACTAATTTCCTCTAGTTTGTCTAGAAAGAGTATTCACACCCTTCAAACTTTTCACTTTTCCAGGACTCACAGCATTGGTCTGTTGCATATAATCTCACTAGACTAAAGTTTGTGGTTCAAAGGTCAATTAATACTTTTGCTAGACTAAGAATGTTTAAAATAAAAAAGACAGATAAACAGTGACCACCAAAGCAGGAGAGAATCTGATAGATGTTTGGTGTTTGTAATTTAAATGTATTCACCAGTAAATACGTGATAATTACCACCGGTGTTGGTGGTAATCCTAAAAATCAACCAGCTGACAATAAGTGATTATATCTCCAATAAAAAAACAATGTTAAGAATCAGATAAACAAAAGAAATCATCCCTAAAGTTTGCAGATCGAACTGGAATAAGCAGGTTTGGAGCCAAAACCAATCGTAACCTCTACCACAGAAACACATATAACCTGCTTCATTCCCTAGAAACATCCTCACACTCACACACACATCATTCCCAGATTGGAGCAGGGACACACACTCACAAGTGTCCTCTCTCAACTCATTCATCACAAAGTTCTGGCGGTTAACACAATTCTGACAGGGGGATTCTCCCGCTGGAGGACAGAATCGTGACGAAATGCCTGTGAATGCGTGTGTGTGTGTGTGTGTGTGGCCAACGCCACGGTGAAGCGGCATCGAACGAGACAACAAGCCCTCCTGCTGCAGCTTCCTGGCTCTCTGACAACTTCAATCCTGCCGGTTCTGATGTGTGGCTCACAGCATTATTCCTGATGGCCTTGCAGTTTTCAAGGAGAAGAAGATAAAGGACGCAAGTCCAAAAACGGGTGCGCCTCATGATCACGTCACATGTTTCTCCTCCTTCCTTTAATGGGATCCCGGCGCATATCTTTATGCTCGTCTGCTCAAAAGAAAAGCCATTTGAAATGACTCCAGCCCAGCAAAGTGAGTGGCACATCTGCCGGTTTTAGTGGAGAGGATGACTGGCAGGCCACTTTACCCAGAAATTGAATGCGTGACTCAACTTTGACAGGCAGGGAAACTCTCGCCTCTGCCATTATTGGCACAGGGCTGGAAATACACCTCTGCTCATATACTTGATTGTTGTCATGCACCTGCGAGCAGATGTGCTACTGCCAAAGGGAGACAGCTGTCGACTCTCCGGAGGTTTCCTCATGGGAAGCAGTAGATGCAATTTGAAAGTTGAGTCTAGACACAGCCTTCATGTCGTCTTCGGGGGGAAAACTAAACTCAACTTAGAAAGTTTAGTGTTTAAAACTTAGTTTAGATGCAACCACAAAACAAGTGAAGACCTATCGCAACCTCAACCGGAGCCTCCATGTGTCTGCTTGTAAAAACAATGTTTTCTCCACCGTTACTCATGGTAATATGTTGAATAGCACAATCAACTGTCGAGATGGGAGAGAAATTAACTTATAGATTATTGGTGGAGAAAAACAATAATGAGGTGACATTTTAAAAAGTCACACTTTACAAGTTTCAAAATGACAACGCAGACACAATTGCATAGCTACGCCTGCATACAACGATACACTGGAAATAATACTCCAAAAATGACGTTTTATATCTGATGTATTATGTACATGAAACAACTTAACATATACTGCACAAACTAGTCAGTGCTATGTCTTTTATTTATGTAAATGTTATCTTAATAACCATCAATCACTTTCATGCTGCTCTATGCAGGTGTTCAGTGTGCACTGATGAAGATCACCTTGCCTCATGCAAGGATCCTCCAGTGGTTGAATGAAAGATAACAGGGACAGATAACAAATTACAGATATATTTTGTAGATGATAAAGGGTTTGCTGCGTCACAATGCAGGCAAACAGAATATATGATTCATTAAATGTCTGTTTTCTTTGTGATGACACACGTAAAACAAAAATAACAGTTAATAAATTTTCTTCCGTTTGAAATTAAAAACAAAAGGTATATTAGTTTTCTTATAAATATTTTGTTCTAAACTGAATTTATCGATACTTTCCTATGTCTTATTTTTACTTACTTCAGTTGAGCTTGAAGTTATTCAGACTCCAGGCTTGTTTATGCTAAAATTAATGTTTGAAATATACTAACAAACGTCTTCTGAATACTAACATTTTGTGGTGTCCAAGCACCACTTGATTTTTGACTTGAGGTTTTATGGAGGGAACTTGAGATAGTCGGAGGGTTACTCAGATAAACCTGTGGAAATATCCAAAGAAGGCTTTGTCACAGCTGCCGCTGAGCTGTGACCACTCGCACCTGATCGGCATCCGCCTGATCCTCAGCTGCTGCCATATTAGGACGGAACTCCTCCTGCACGGCGTCAGATTGTTGTGAAACCCTCAGCGGTAACACCTTCAGGCCTGCTGTAGTAACTGGAGCTAACTGCACAGTATCTAACCTGTCTGTCTCTACCTAGATTCCTCTCCTGTCCCCGATCCCTGACTCTCCCCCCTGGTTAAGGACCTCCTGGCTTCCACCCCCCGTCTGTCTGACCCTGAGACTGCCTGATCCCGATTTGGATTCCCGGTTCTGACCCTGGCCTGTCTGACCAAGAATAAGCAATTTCCCAATAAACGTCTGGTTTGGTATTCACTGTTCAGTCCCTGTGTCCATCCGTGCCTGGGCGTGACAGAACAATCTGACCAATTAAACACATGGACCAGACTGAACAGCAACCCCCTGCCGCCCTGAGGGACATCATAAGCCGACAAGGAGTCGTGCTTGGGCAAAGCGTTCATCGGCTCGCTGGACTAGAAGCGGCCAGCCAATCTCTCCATCAGGAAATCGTTCAGCTGGCCTCACAGGTAGAAAAACTAACCTCTGCGCTTTCCTCAAGTCCAGGACCGTCAGGCGCGTCAGCTGCTGTTGCTGCAGCTGCTCCTCCACCCGCCTCCTTACCAGCCGATCCTCCTGCTCTCCCCACTCCGGCAAGTTCACGGGGTCCGTATGTTCCCGATCCCCCGCCATTCTCAGGTGAACTGTCAAAATGTCGGGGTTTTCTGTTACAATGTCGGATGGTTTTTAATCAGCAACCAATGGCCTTTGCCTCCGATTTATCCAAAATATATTATGTCATGGGACTGCTGAGGGATCAGGCTTTAGCCTGGGCGCTAGCGTTTGACTCCACCACACCGTTAACCTCCCTTACCTTTAAACAGTTCACTGAAGAACTCAGCACGGTGTTTGATCACCCGGATCATGTTGGGGATGCCTCAAAACGCTTGCTGAAGCTGCGCCAAGGCTCCCGTAGTGCAGCCGAGTTCTCGGTGGAGTTTCGCACACTGGCTGCTGACACTAAATGGAACGATGAGGCGCTCAAAGGAGTATATTATCAAGCCTTAACTGAGGCCTTAAAAGACGGTTTGTCCGTCAGTGATGAGGCCAAAGACTTGAACTCACTAATCACAATGTCTATCCGTTTGGACAACAGGCTTCGTGAGCGACGCCGGGAGCGACCCGGCCAGTCTGCCTCAGCGCTTCCTCGGCTGTTTCCACCTGCGGTGGAGCGCAACAGCGCCACCCCTGTTTTCCCGCCGGCCCAGTCACAGGCTCCAGCGCCCCCTGACGACGAACCCATGCAAATAGGTAGAACGCACCTGACAGCCACAGAAAGACAGAGGCGTCTTCAATCAGGAGACTGCCTCTACTGTGGTAAACCTGGGCACAGAATTTCCAGCTGCCCTGTACGGCCAAAAGACAAGGCTCATTAGAGGTGGGGACTCTAGTGAGCAGCACGGGCAAACCCCAACTCTCTACCAGCCGCCTGCTTATTGATGTTAAGCTTTGCCACCAGTCAACTTCCCACTCATTAACAGCCTTAATTGATTCTGGAGCTGAGGATAACTTTATTGACGAAGACTTATCTAAGAAACTTAACATCCCCATTGAACCCCTCAGTTCACCATTATCTGCTAAGGGTCTGAATGGTTCTCTCTTGTTTTCTGTCACATGTCAGACACTTCCCCTGTTGATAACATCAGGGAACCACAGGGAGGTTCTCAGATTTAAAGTAATCCCTTCCTCCGGTTTTCCCATGGTGCTGGGTCATCCGTGGCTGAGACTTCATAATCCCCATATTGATTGGGTCGCAGGTAGGATAGTTAGTTGGAGCCTGTCCTGTTCTGATAATTGTCTTCGTGCTGCTCAGCCTGATTGTGGGAGTTTTTGTGACAGTCCAGATCCCTCGACCTGTCATTGGTTCCTCCCGAGTATCACAACCTAGCTGCCGTTTTCAGTAAGTCCCGAGCCCTCTCGCTCCCCCCTCACCGACCATATGACTGCGCGATAGAGCTCCTGCCTGATGCTCCGCTGCCTAACAGTCGCTTGTACAGTCTGTCCAGGCAGGAACAGGAAGCCATGGAGACCTATATCAATGACTCAGTGGCTGCTGGTGTCATCCGCCGCTCGTCATCCCCACTGAGTGCCAGCTTCTTTTTTGTAGGGAAGAAAGATGGAACATTACGCCCTTGCATTGACTATCGGGGATTAAATAAGATCACGGTTAGGAACAAATACCCATTACCTCTTATGTCCACGGCATTCGAATTGCTGCAGGGGGCAAGCATCTTCTCCAAATTGGATTTACGTAATGCCTACCATCTAGTCAGGATACGTGAGGGAGATGAATGGAAGACCGCTTTTAAAACATCCATAGGGCATTTTGAATACTTGGTGAGGCCTTTTGGCCTAACTAATGCCCCTGCTGTCTTCCAGGCCTTTGTTAATGACGTTCTGAGGGATTTCCTTAATCATTTTGTGTTCGTCTATTTGGATGACATACTTATCTTCTCTAGGACGAAGGAGGAGCATGTTGGTCATGTTCGTCAGGTCCTCCAGAGGCTGCTGGAGAACAAATTGTTTGTTAAAGCTGAGAAATGCAGTTTTCATTTTTCCTCCATCACCTTCCTGGGGTTTGTCATTGAGGAGGGACAGATCAGAGCTGA